CCTTGGAACCATTTCCCTTGTTTAAATCTGTAACTGGATTAGAGGTACCCTCAGGAGAAAGGTGCCATAATAATACAACATTACTGCACAACAAGCCCTGCCTGCATTGCTCTCATAAACTGTATGCTAAATTGATGCTTTGGGTGAAAGAACTATAAGATCTCCCAGATGCGTTTGGGGTGGGGGCAAAACGCGTATCACTGCTGGACACCTGTGGCTCAGGTTTACAACTTCACAGCATACCCCCAAGGAAGGAAGAGGATACAGAGGAAAGGAAAAATATGGTTCTGCAAGTGAAAAAGCCAGAGAGCATTAACTCCTCTGTGAACTGAAGAAACAGCCAGAGTCCTTCGGGTCTTCCCTGACAGCTGCGGCAATCTGAGAACTAGAGGCTCACCTCTGACGAGAGAGGGAGAGTGCAAAGAGCAAACACAGCCATCGGACAAAGTGGGGTTAAGAGTCTGCTGCCATGTCCCATGTGTTTCATTTACAGCAGAGACACTGAACACGCAGGGACAAATTATCCATCAAGCAGTGATCCAAACTCCGCTGCTTTCAGTCCCTGCACACATTTGCACACAGGGAGAGACACGTACGCAGTTTTACAAAATGGCCCTGACCATCACCGTGTACCGTATACTGTTCCCGCCCGCGAACAAGAAAAATCCCTGAGCTATCAAAGACGATTAATGTAGTCATTTATCTCACAGCGCTGTCTGGTTAATAACAGAGTAAACGTGGGAGGATGGAGAGCAGAGTGCAGGTACATTGATGAGAAAGGTTTAACGAACTCTGCTCTAATGAGTTGAGCATGTTCTTCGGCAGCTCTGAATTGCAGGAGTGTTGTGGAAAATGCAGTCCTGAGGCTGAAACACACTCTTTGCAAGGTGCACTCACAACCTCTCTTCACTTATAGCTCCTGCCTTCACACCTAACGTGCTCTCGAGTAGTAATGTACACTGCAAGTTCAATGAAATGGAATCACGGCTTCAGATTTAGAGAAGGCATGTACAGTGTTGAGAGTATGTGTGGGCTGAATACCAGGGATAACACAATGTTTTACAATCGAGATAGACAAAAGTGTATATAAATAATAAAGATTAATATTGCAAATTCTCTATTAAAGTTGAACTATATGTTCACTGGCCACTTCACTAGTTACACTTTGCTGTTGCCAGGTTGGATCCCCTTTCGCCTCCAGGGTATAGACTAATCAAGGTGCTCTAAACGTCCTCTGAGATTTTGGTTAATATTGACAAAAACTGAGCCTCATGAGACCTGGCAAAGTTTTTTTTTCAGTCTTCGGTTGTCTAATTTTTGTGAGCCTGACTTAGCTGACAGGAGTGGCACCCATTGTGCACTTCTGCTGCTGTAGCCCATCTGCTTCAAGGTGCTCTTCTGCACCGTGCTTGTAAAAAATGATTAGTAGTTACTGTTGCCCACCACCTGAAGGGGTATGGCCTTTCTCTCTGATCTCTGATATCAACGTTGCCTTTTTCGCTGGATATTTTCTCTTTCTTGGACCATTCTCTGTAAACCTTAGAGACTGTTGTGTGAGAATAGTTCAGCACATCAGCAGATTCTGCAATACTCATGCCATTAAAACCATGCCATGCTCAAAGTCACTTAAATCACCTTTCTATTCCATTCTGATGCTTGGTTTGAACTTGATCATATTTACATGCCCAAATCCAGTTGTTTGCTGCTACGTGACTGGCTGATTAGAAGTTTACGTTACTGAACACTTGAGCAGGTGCATCTAATGAAGTGACCACTGAGTGAGCATACACATTAGATTTAATAGTTGACTCAGAGCCTTTTTAGCACTTGGAAACTTGTACATTAGATGTGTTATGAAGAGAAATGTGCATGTTTTAACCTTCTGAGTTCTAAGACGTCTTAGATGGTAATCCTAACTCCTGACCTTTCTCTCAGTTAGAAAGGTTATTTCCTTTGTTCCCTGATTGCCACTAATTTGAAGAACTACTTAATAAAAAGAGAAATAGGATATTTCGAATGCCCACAGTTAGAATTAGGGCTATGCTCAAGGTTGTCACGCATAACCTCAAAGGGTTAATTCCTTGAGGTTAAAAGAGGGAAGCCAAGCGCAGGTCCTCTCCTGTTGTTGTGATTTGATTTTGGCGGTTGGTCGAGCAGATGGGACGGATGTCTGGAAGTTGGAGTGCCTTTGGTGCTCCCTCCCTCAAGTGGGTGGGTGTGTGTACGCAAAGTGCTCTCCAGTCTGTCTTTAGGAAGATAGACAGCTGGTCAAACAGGCTTACGAGAGCAGTGGGCAGTCTGGTCTCTGACTTAAGCACATTAGTCTTTACTCCTCATTGGTCAACGGCTTCAAGTTCAAAACTGTTTTGTAATGTATTGATGGGTGAATATTGTGGACCAGTGACGATATGTCCTCTTTTGACTAGACAGTGGCAAAAATCATTAAGAAAGCATTATCGACGCATGCGTGCATGCTGTACCCCGTGCCAAAGTGTTTTTACGTCTTTGTGTCGTGATTGAGGGTGCACTGTGAGGGTAGACACCCCCCTCCACCCACCCCCAACCCCCCCACCCCAATGTACGCAGTTATGTGGTTGTGTTGTGCAGCACGTAGGCTTGTGGAAACCGGACCGTTCTGCTGCTTCCCTCGTGGCGGGTGGCCTTGGCGGTTGGAGCCAGCAGAATGGGTACCAGGAGGGTGCAGGGGTGTTTTTGTGGCTGTGTCAGTGATAGAGAAAGATCAAGATTTAATTTCATGGCCAAACCTACTTTTTTTTCTGTGTGTTTTCTTGCCTTTGAGACATTCCTTCTGGCACATTTTATCCAGCCAAACAGACAACAAAGTTAACTCAGCATCAGGATGTCATTTATTAGCTAATGTAATACAACACCAGACACGACTGTTGTATTCCGTTACCCTGCGCTGACGCAGAAAACAGAATACAACATTGTATTACACAAGAAGCACAAAGAACAAAGGGCAATATTGACTTACAAAGGTCAGATTTTTTTTCTTTATTCCAAGAAACCTGCCCATTCGATCTGACATGATGTACCCTTGACTGGTGAAATGATTTACTTTTATTGCTGTCTCCTTTGGCATCTGTATCACTTCTCTTTATATATAAGCCAGCAGCTGCTGGTCAACCAGAGAGTGCTATTTTATTTGAACATTGGCCTACTGTGGGCACCAAGAATGCCTCAGAGTTATATGAGAGCAGACGTATAATTATACCATTAGACTGACAGTGATGCTTGCTGCGAAATACTAATACTGCTGTTTTATTTTGCGTGTTCTAATCAAAGCTGATCTCACTTTCTGTTTTAGGGGCTACAAATAGTTGAGACATCAAGATTGTGCTCTCTTCCCTTTCCGTCCTCCTTTTCGTTCTCTGTGTGAAACCAACTCGTGCAGGCTTCTGGTCAAAGCACACATGTGCTTGACGTCACGCGGGCTGCTTGTGGGCTGACGTAGGTGTTCAGACTCGAGCCATATCAGAGGGGTGATTGGGCCCCAGTGTGGCTGCCTGGTAGTGCAGTCTACAATGGCTCCTGTTGAGACCTCATGTCTCATGCCCCATAACCGCAAATGATGCTTGTATGTGTGTGTATGTGTGTGTGTGTGCACACGTCTGTGCTAGCTTCAGCTATCTCATGCCAGACATATCTGATGCAAGAGCGGATCAAGGGATCACCATGTCATTTCTGAGAATAGTCCGTATCCATTCACTATGGGAGAGAAAAATGTGGGTTGACGGAGCCAGATGTTACTAGATTAACAGCTGTCCACGGCCTCTATTGTCTGCCACATCATGTCCGGTGGCTGTAAGAAGACAGAAGAACAAGAAAAGAATGAAACTGTACACTGAACAGATGGACAAGTTATTCTATCATTTCAGCTCATTCTGTACAAAACATATCCAGGACATCATATCCTCTCTTCTCTCAGCTCAACTTTCCTTTAAACCAGGGGTGTCGAACTCCAGGCCTCGAGGGCCGGTGTCCTGCAGGTTTTAGATCTCACCCTAGGTCAACACACCTGAGTCAAATGATTAGTTCATTAGCAGGCATCTGGAGAACTTCAAGACATGTTGAGGAGGTCATTTAGCCATTTGAATCAGCTGTGTTGGATCAAGGACACATCTAAAACCTGCAGGACACCGGCCCTCGAGGCCTGGAGTTTGACACCTGTGCTTTAAACTCTCTGGTGGAGATGTTCTGAGAATACAATTAAAGAGTCTCTAAACTGACAGCATCCTACTACCGAGTCTGTGTGGACCCATGTGGAATAGCGAAAGTAACTGTCTGGAGAATAGAGAACTTGTTCAGTGGGCATTATGTGTGCACCCTGAACCCGGGCAGCACCTTCGTCCAAACCAAGCATAGTATTTGTACTCTATAAATGTTCTGTGTAATAGTGAGAATGCATGTGCAGCAGATTGCCTCCTACATGTACAAGTATTGTCCTGATTCTCCTGACCCAGTCCAGAGGGCATGTGAAAATGCCTGTAGACCCTAGCTCTTAGGAGACCGGCCTAAGAATTGATCATGTGTCATGGGATCTACTAGTAGATCAATTGGCTCATGGCCCACTGGGGTGCTGCCTACCAGCAATTCACCACCAGCGGTCACAACACATTTAGTCCTGCTTCACAGGCACTTGCTGACATTCAAGTACTGTGGCTAAACAGAGGGAGGAGGAGAGCAGTGTTAAGTTATGGTAGTTGGCTGGCCGAGAGCGTAATTGAACCCTTGAAGCCTCAGGTGAGCGGTGACGTTCACCTCTCAGAAACGCTTAAATGTGTGAATGTTGACTTATTTAGACACATTTTTAAAATTCACATCCGTCCACCTTCTCATTTATGATACACTTCAAAGACAAATGTAGTCTATGTGGTAGTACATGTGTAGTAATGTTTTTGTCCTTGCCATTAGGAGTAATGCCGCTGTGTCCTAAATGATAGCACAGTAGTTTAAGCAACTGGATCCAGGCTGTTACCTTTCAGTCGAGCTGTTGTCTGTCCTTCCGCTCACATCTGGATCCAATAGGAGCGACTTCCTTCTCTGAAGGAGGGACACATATAAATAGCCAGGCAACCGTAACCACACCATGCAACACAGCCTGGATGTTAGTTCATTTGATTACTGCTGCCCTGTTTTGCACTGCCAGCTCAGATATGGGATCTTATATTCACGTATCCTTGCATGTATAAAGAGCCCAGGTCTGTCATTTCCACCTCTGACCCTCTGACGCCCTGGTCTGTGGTGTGAATGATGCATGTACACTGAATATGGAATGCACATCAACACAATTCTGTTCCCATCTGTGAAAAGTTTGAATGGAATAAGGCCAGGACTGATGGGCAAGAAGAGGATGGGTGGGCTGAAACGTGTGGGCTTAGGAGGGGGAACACTGTATTCTGGTTATAGCAGAACAACTAAATTTGCTGCTTTTATGAGATACAGGGCACAGTAACAGCTACATTACTAGTGCAAAGATTATGTAACCACGGCACAGTGTCATTTTGCAGCAGGTCTATGCATTTACGTCTGGTGTCCTCATTTTGATGTGAGATGCAGAAACGGCAGACGTGCAGCAACGACTTAAGCATATGGCTGATTCTTTGTTTTGTTTTTTGTTTTTTTCAAATTGCATCCTAAGAATGACCTTCCTCATTGTGTCTCCGATATGTGTGTACATTCCAGTGACTTAACACATGCTTCTTTCTGTGTGGCACATGTGCATGTCTTACCACAGTCCTGGCTCAGCCCAACCCCTATCAAATTAAGGCTCATTCCAGCAAGAGGTGGGACCGTTCATCTCGTGGCCTCGACCTTTCCTTGCTCGTACCGTCTTCTGCTGGGGGCTCCAGGGGCAGCACAGGGGAGACGCTGGGAGGAGGAGAGGGATTGTTATTGGGGTTTAATGCTTCAGCGGGAAATCTACGCCGTAGCTACGTTGTAACCGCAAACCCCTCTGAAACTTTATGCTGTTACCTACGGTGTAACCTGACATGCACCTCAGGGTTTGTGTGCTGTTATTGAGTGAGTTTTAATTTGTGTGATTTCAGAAGCAGATATCGCAGAGTGGTGTCGTGAGGAAAACTGATGCCATAGGCTCAAATTTACCTTGACACACACACTTTTGTCTCATACCAACACAGGTATGTGTTGGCAGGTTGGGATGAGTTTCTCGGCCATTCAAGCTGCCCCATTTTGTTGCTCCTTTAACATAGATTGGTGTTTTCGGAGCAAATGCTATAGCAATCAATGTCCTGTTGTTTTTAACCCATGCCCTGGGAGTTTGCATGTGCGTCCGTGTGATGTAGTAAAACTGCAAAAACATGGAGGTTGTGTTCCAGGGATGGAACCTGAGATTGTCCCCATTCCCCTCTTGCTGGCCTCTTAGGAGAAGCCACCAGCACTTGCTCCTGCCCCTTCTCCACTTCGTGCCTGCCTTCCTCTGCCAGACGCATAGCTTTAGTTTCCCTGCTAGGCTACAAGGGTATCAGGTTTGTTTTGGAGGGGAGTGGGTAAGAGGAAAGGGGAGGGTTGGGGTAGAGATGAGGAAGGCTGGCATATGTGTGGAGGAGAATTAGGTGGACAAATCGCATTGGTGTAGGTTGGTTTTTTTTTATCCGAAAAAGGAGGAGGAGAAAAAGATGGGAGGGGAAAAATAGAACTAACAAGTCCCCCCTGGCCTGTTGCTGCTCCTGACCCCTTATCCATAAATTCCATGCCAGGAATTGGAGTTGTGAAGCAGCCATTTTATGAATGAGGGTTAGGGGGGAGGGAGCGGGAGACCGAGAGGAATAAAAGGAGCAAGAGAGAGTGAGAGGGGAGGCGGGTTAGGTTGTGTTTAGTATATGTGTGTGGGTGGGTGAGACGCGGCTCAGAGGCGCTTGTGGTAGAGTTAGTTATGTGTGTTTGTGTGTGTGCGCGTTAGCGACTGTTCAGGCTTCGTGTGCGTCTGTGTTGTGTTTTGTTCATGCCTCTGCTGAGACACTGTGCAGTCTGGAACAAAGGCCCAATTTGGGTTGTGCTTCCGTCTGAAGCTGCTCGCTTAGCAGCCACTGCAGATCAGTTGTCAGATCGAGGAGTAACAGGCACACCTCAACATTTTGTAAACTTCGCCAGTTACAGTTAGGAGAGACATCTTGATTTTGCACTTGTTTAACCATGTGCTGTGGAAGCATGTAAACATCATTTCTGTGCTCTCCTGTTGTCTCACAGTGAAACTGCCCCAGTGTTTTTTTTTCTTGTTGGGTTTTGTTTTTAAGTGGATTCCCAGGGGCTCACCACACAACTTTACTATTTGCATTGTTATTTAATTAAAATCTTCCAGTAGATATAAGCACCTTTTTTCCCCTTTTTCCAGCTGAAATAGTTTTAGACAGGTGGAAGAGACGGTATACAAGCATACTGAATCATTTTTTAGTAAATCTCTTTTCTTTAGTTAATTGATTTTACTGTCTTCAAGATATCATTTGCAGAAAGTCTTTAAAATCTTCAACAAAAAAAATGTTACCCAAGAAAACAAAGCAGAGTTTGGGGATCACAGAGAGTGCATCTTCTCTTCTTCTTTGCTGTGGAAATTGACCCTTGTACCCCTTGTACAATGACGGCACAGTGATCCTTTAGTGGTGAGTTAGAGGCATCTATTGTTCTGTTATCCATTAGAGGAAAAATGACGATCCAAGGGGAGTCTTGTTTCAAGTGACGGAGCTTATTCTCTCGTTTGTGATTCCCCTATATCTGCTGTCACAGAAATATGGCTGCAGGCGAATAAACACAACTTAGGTTTAGATGGCAAGGCGAAGCCGAACCTCCACTATGTGAACTGGACCTAACTTAGTCCGATGTAGGCAGCAGTTGAGTGGTTGCTGTGTCTTCTGTGTAAATTATAGATATTTAACACATAAGAAATCAACTGAAATCGGTTTCTTGTGTTGCATAAATGAGTAATAATGTTTAAACGAACAGATTATTCCACGTGATCGAGGTCAGGCATAGTGCAATCTCTGCGTTGTCATGGCGATTCCCAGCCCCTTGCTGTCATCCATAAAGCAGTAGGTAGCAGGTGCCATTAGCCAGTCAGTCACTCAATGCTGCTCGTGCAGTGCTGTAGGTAATGAGAGCTGACACAGAATGACAGTGCAGACAGGAGGACATGCTGTCACTGCGGCTCAGGGACACGAGGACGTCCTCCGGTGTTGTTTACTCCTCCCTGTGTACATTAACGCTGCTGATCCTGCTGCTGATGGCGATGCCGCTCGCCTTTTCCTGCTTCTCTTTAACTGAGATAATCCGTTAACCATTTGAGTCACCGATAAAATAACACCGCTAACGATTACCCGTTCTAGCTTTTCAAATATAAGAACTAATATTTTGGAATTATCCCAAATGAGTCATGTTTGGACTGTTATTAAAGTCGTTTAAAGACTCTGATTTACATGCGCATTACTTTTTTGTTTGTGGATGTATTCCCGCTGTGTACATTTACATAAACAATTAACAATTAATGGACACAGGCCCACCTGATTTCATGGGTGTTCAGGAATTGATGTTAGTATTGATTTAAGAACAGGGATGGATATCCGCATTTATCATTGAAAACTTTATTATTATTCCTGTTGGTAAAATTATATCAAAACGAGAATGTGTGTGTGTTGGTGTGTTTAGGTTGTTCATTTTCAAATAAAAATCAATGTTTCGACTAAAATAATCCAACTATTCAGAGTAACTAACCGCAATTTGTGCCATGTATTCTTTTTCCCCCTTTAAGTGGTATAAGTTATCACGTACCGCTCGTACAGGTGTTGCCAAAGCAGGAAAAGAATAGCTATAAATAACAGTAATCACTTGCTGAGTCCCTTCTCTGACGTGCTTTGTTTACTTCCTCACTCGCCTTTTTTCCTTACAGGAACCAAACAGACAACAGAAAGGTGCTACTTACTATATGATTGCTGCCGCCTCCTTGCCAGCCTTTTCACAACCTCTTGCTGTCTGGGAGCTCAGCAGAGTGCAGAAAAGAAACCCCGCAGCAGTGAGCTAGTTAGATAGCAGATAACTGCTGTGGTGCAACACACATATACACACACACAGAGGAGTCTAGTAGTAGCTCTAATGAAACCACCACAAGACAAAGCAGTGACTGGAAATTTGGCCATGGAAAAAGGCCTGGAGCCAGAGCCAGCACTTTGATGGCTTTCTTTTGAGTGGTAGTTAAAGGATATGGTCTCCTGTTTCATGTCTTTGCTCCTTCTTGCTGTGTGTATGCATTTGTGTTCGTGTGTGTGTGTAAGTGTGTGATTGATGGCTCATTGATTGAGCAACGTGCTCCCATTCCCTCTCTCAGCCAGCTATCTGTCCCCTGGCTGTATGTAGCCAGCCAGCCCAGCACCAGCTGTTCAAAAGTATGCGTGTGTGTGTGTGTGTGTGTGTGTGTGTGCGCACATTCATGTTTGAATAAGTGCATTCCGGCGGAAATCACTGATCTAGCAGGTGCGATTTCTACTCTCCCATGGTGTCTTGTTATGGTCTTAATCGGGGCGTGGGCGGCATTTTAAAACCAGTTGATGTTACGTAGAATAAGAATATGTTGCATTATTGATGATTAATATTTAACACACAATTCAAGTAGGATAAAGGGCTCGTTGTGTTATCATCTGCATGTTCCTCGGTGGAGTTAAATACTACAGTCATGTGCTATGAGGCATATGATTTTTTTCTCTCTCAAGTAATTCCAGAGCTGATCCAGTGCTTCTGTTGAAGAGAAAAAATATAGCCTCGGGACCCCCATTTATTACAGTTTATGATGTTCAGTTTAGCAGCATTCAGACCAATAAGAGTTAACAAGACATTTATGAAATAACTAATGAATTACTGCATCTGGGGACAGCAGAGATACAGCAGTTCTCGGGTAAATATAGAATCGGCTCATCCTGTGCTTGCAGTTGGTGCAGTGTCCTCTTTACGCAGGTTACCACATGTGTGTCAGAGGAGCAGAGGGATCTTTTAAGGATGACAGAAAACTTGTGTAAAGTGATCTGCTCGGGGAAACCCTGGGGCTGATTAAAATGGAGCTGAAGGAATGATAATAAGTCTGAAATATCAGAGTTCAGATGGTGTGAGAGATTGTGGTAGATATGCTGTGTTGCTTTAGAAGACGCTCACTGAACCATTAATGGAATACAACAGATTTTTAGGTCACAACAAGGGGGGAAAAAACTGGTTCCTCAGCCCTGTGTTTACAATCTCAATGAATGTGTGTAACATGTCTGCTGTGTTAGCGTGCCTCTCTACCATGGCGTTGACCCCCTGCTGGTGCTCCGCTACTGTTGCAGCCTTGTTCCTTGAGTTGTTTGAGGCCTGTAACAACAGGAAAACAAAAGCATTTTTTTCTAAGCAGGGGGCACCTAAGTGGGCCACACTAGTGCGCCCCACATTTATGTCCCCGTCTGTCCAAACTGAAGGAGAGAGTTGTCTGCAGCCTCAAAAAAGAAGGGGGGAAACATGCCCGCTCTTTCTAAACTGTGTCTTTATATCTCCCCTGACTGTTGGTAGCCACAGGCTTTCACAAAGGAGACTATTGTTTGTTTGGTGGGGAGAAAGCATGGGCATTTTGTTTCAATCATTTCTGGAAGTCTTATGTTTAACATGGTGGGGGCTTAGCACGCTTCCTGTAGCTGGAAGCGGTCTTGTTCCCTGTGTCCATTTCCCAGCCTCTGCACTGGCATCTGTCCTCTCTGCCCTCTGTGTCGACTTCTGAATGCTCCGGGTTTATAGTGTGTTCACACCTGTGGAGGTTTTCTTTTTGATTAAGCTGCAGCTTTTGGTGTCATAGCAGGACAAGCTATACGAGCTGAAAGTGTGTTCAAATGTAGTTTTTGTGCTTTGTGCCCAACATAAAAAACCCGCCCCCAGATCTTTCTCCATCTTCCCGTAAGTCCCAAATAAACCCTCCTGCCTCATGCTTGCTAACCACTGCAGCGTCTTTGAGTCCTCTTGCAGCGCTTTGATGACACTTCACCTCTCCTATATGCACTGACTCCTCCTTAATCCGACTTAGAGCTAATCTATCGCCGAGGGATGTGATCCGGCACTAAACACTAGGTTTGATTGTCGCAGAGCAGGGGAATCTCAGCCCTTAGTCACTGTCCCTCATCACGCATAGAATGCATGTCTTGATCATTTTTGTGTTTTAAATCTCCCTAAAAAGCCGCATCCCTCTGCTGCATGTCTAGTTTAAAACACTAAAAAAACAGTCTGATTCTTCTTCTTTTTACAGCGCATATTTTTATATTAAGCAATTATTTCCCAATATGCCTCCTCTTATTGTCTCCCTTTGTGGCTCTCTCTCTTTTTTTAGTTTTCTTTTGCTTTAATAATCTTTTGGTTTCATTACTGGAAAAAGAAAAAGCCCAGCTGTAGCTGTCCTCTAGTGGAAATGTCAAACCCAGAGTTTTATAATAACACGATGAAGCACGATACGCCAGACAAAACTCCTCATTTGGCATGTGTTAATTAGGAAGGACTTGCTCAAGTCCGAGAGCCTAGGAAAGAGAGGAAAAAGAAAACTTTATGGCTTATATGCAGATTCTGCTTCATGCTTACAGACCACACGCTGACCCATCGGGGAGCACTTTAACGATAAACAAGTGTGATGTGGCAGTGGTGCTTCGTATGAGAGTCATACAAGCCATGTACCTGCCACACAAGTTGGAGGAAACTCTCTCTCTCACACACACACACCTCTGTCTAGAAATGTAGATAAAATTAGCAAAGCTTCCACACTACATGCTTTAATCGTTCTTTCATCTTTCTTTCATTTTCTTGCTCCCTCCTTCCTCTTCTCTCTTCCCTCCTGAAGCTGCTGAGGTCCCTAAAAGGGGCAAAGAAAGCTGAGTGTATTTGTGTGTGTGGGATGGGGGGGAAGAGAAGGAGAGACGGGGGAGAAGGAGGAGGAGGAAGAACTGAACTCTCCACCCACCCTGAAAAGAGGAGGTGAAAAAATGGGGATAGAAGCATGATGTCACAGGCAGCCAATAGGAAGTGTGGGCTGGGGACTGTTTAAGGCCTGTCAGCTGTCCTGCTCCATCCACATAGGCAGTGTGAGGTCAGGCACAGCTTTATCCATCCTCTGCCCCATGTCTGGTCACCGGTCTCTAGCTTCTGACCTTTGAGTCCACGCTCTATGTATGGCATATGAAGGTCCTGAAGCGAGGTCTCACTTAATGCTCTAGCTGAACTGCCATTGAAACACTGCCCCAAAACCAAATATGGTACAGATTAGGTGGAGAGCTGCAGTTTGTCATTTTGTATTGTTTCCACACGCTCTTTATCATGACTACTGTTTGTGTTCGAGGCCAGAAGTGAATGGGGGACTTGCGTCATGGTAAAATCCGATTAACACCAAAACTTAGGTTACAAATGAGGAGCTACGTCTGCGTTGAGCCTGTGAGAGAAACTTGCTGAAAGTGACGTAACCCACAGTTTGTTCAGAGACTTGTAAATAGTAGTTCATTCCCGCTGCAAGGCTTTGTGCAACTGGAATGATGTTGGGTGTTGCTGTTACTCAATTACTAATAAGGATAAACCTTAACAAGTCCATTGTTGACGACACTGTAGTGGTCCTTTAGTGTCGTTCGTGGCTTTACGTTGACATGGTAAGCCACCCTTTTGGGCTTATTGTCATTTTAAGACACATGGATTTAATGGGATGTTTAAGGTAAAGTAGCCCTTATTTATGATATCCAGTCACACCCTTTTGATGTGAAAGGATCGAGTGAGAATGAGCTAATTGCTGAATGCTGCCAAACATTTCCCGTCACCGGTCCTGTTTGGCCTTATCAGCGTGCATGTCAGTAGTAAGTGCCTCTATTCTTTTGTGTTGTTCAACTGTTTATGAGGAAAACTGCAAACCTTTAACTCCTTGTGCCAAAAGGAAATGTTCAAAACAAGCACGAGGTTTGTGTGTATTCTACTGGATCAGTACAATACTGTTTTACTGTGACATCATCTGGGACTGTGGTATCTTATCAGGCCATTACACTTGAAAGACCTAGCCTTAAGTCTCAGTGCAGGCTCTCTAGATAAAGAGAGTGATTCATCCTAACTCTGGTGCTTGTCCTTTGTTTTTCTGTGCATGAACACTCAAGAATTCTGCTCAAGAATTCTGCTCTTGCTCTTGACGAAGGCGGTCGCACTTTTCTCCTCTCCTCTCCTCCCCTCCCTTAGCTTCCCTGCTTAGCCTCTTGTGTCCTTGTCTAGTCTCGTGTTTTTTGTATTACTTTTCCCTGGAACACTCTCTCACAGTCCGTTCTCTAAAACTTAAAAGAGAATTATGGATTTGATCAACTGGTCCCTGAATGCAATTGACACCCCTTTCTCAATGAGAAGTTTGGGCTTGGATGAGCCTGAGTGCTGAAGATATCTACCTATTCGGAACCATGATAACAGGGTTCTTGCTGATCGGAGCTGGCTTGGCGTATCGAAGAATTAAGGAAGTGGAACCGGCTGTTCAAACCCCCACAATGCTGCCCGCTGGGATTGAAATGATGGGATGAGGCGTGAGTTTCTCAAAATGGGCTCATTGAGTGCAGCACGGATAAGATCTTGGAGAAGCTTATCTTTCCTCATGTGGTGCATTTTCCATTGTTATACCTCTCTGACCTGTCTTCCCCATGTGATGTTTTTGTGTAATGTACGTATGGTCGGAGGGTAAGATGGCGCCGCCATTGTGTGCAATAGGTCGGCAGCCTTAACATGAAATTTCCCCTCGTGGGACTAATAAAGGTATATCAAATCAAATCGAATCTTGCTTCTATAACAACATCAAAGGGAGGAAAAAGGAAATCCTTAACCCAGATGTTATTCATGAAGCGACTATTGGGATTGGTGGCTCCATTAAGGTGCCAAATACTGAGGTGTGTATCCTAAAGAAAAGAGAGCGATGCACTGAAGAGATGGGCACAGTAACAACACTGCAGTCTGCCTGTGTGTGCCAA